ATTTTGAGGTTCAGGTATGCTTTACAAGAATGCATTTCTTTCTTTCTTTATTTTATTATTATTATTTTGTTTTTGTTTTTGTTGTTTTATAAGTGTGTGTGAAAGGGAAGTGATGTTTAAAAAAATAAAACTGTGACAAGAAGAAAACAAGACAGAAATACCATTATGAGTTTTTATTTAAGTTTAGAAGTTGTTCCAGTGTTTTAACATTTAAATGATTTTTTTTTTTGCACAGAACTTCTGCTTTAGAAAAAACTTGTTCACATTGCACAGATGTAGCTGGTATTGACAAGTATTTTTTTGGCAAGGTGGAAAAGATGAGGGAAGAAAGTTGGGTGTGTTTGAGTGTCGTTGTACTTCAACCGCTGCATCTATTTCAGCCAGCCAGAGATCTGTAATCAGGGGCAACATTCATTTCATCAGCAGGGATAAGCACACAAGGGGAAAAACTAGCAAGAAAATGGTTGTTATTCTGGAACACCTCCGCCAGAGCACTGACTTCAATCCAGTTGGGAAATCTGTAATAAGACCAGAAGAATACCCATGTTCTCAACCTGTTTTGGCAGAGGTGGAGCAAATATTCCTTGGAGAATGTGCAAATAAATCACAAACAGAACCAAGTAAAGAAATAGTGTCTTTTATCAGAAGACTTACATTTGAATTTGTAATGCTATTAAAGAAAGAAATTCAATGTGGTGAAACATTCATGGTTAAATTGATATGATACCTATAAAGTCCATCTGCCTTATGTTTACCTGTTAATCCAATAATTAAAATTATGTCATCCTTTACTCACCCTCATGTCATTCCAAATTTCTTTCTTCTTTGGAAGACAAAATAAGATATTTGGAAACATGTTGATAACTAAACAGTTTGCTCTTCCTTTTGACATCCATTGTATGGACACAAAATTCAATGTAAGTCAATGGAAACCAAAACTGTTTAGTTATCAAAATCCTTCAAAAGTTATTATTTTGTCTTCCACACAAGACAGAATGTCATACATGTTTGGACTTTCTACATGAGGGTGAGCAATTGATGAGAGGATTTTCATTTTCGGGTGAACTATCCCCTTTACGAGTTCCTGCATTTCAAGTTCCAACTAGGCATGGTGGTGCTAGTAATGGTTTAATTACCAGTTAATGCTTGTACTGATAAGTGTATATCAATTATTATATGTATATGCTGTGCATCTTGCTAATGCATAAATCTAAATTACTGTCAACAAGAGGCCCATTCACCTTAATTCACCAAACAGAGGAATCACATTTGTTTTCACTTCAGAACAAGTGGACTGAGTTGCAATGTTCTCTTTTTTGCCTGTTTTGTTGGAGTAAAACACAACATTCTAGCCCTTAAAAAAATGTGTTTTCTCTAATGTTATAAAATTTTCCTTTGTACATGAAAGATAAAGGATTTTGTCACTGTAGCTTACAGCAGTAAACCCTCTGAACCTTGAAAATGCCACAGGTAATCCAGTGACCCCACACTGGCTGTTTGTCCTCTGCATTCCTCTCACTGGTCTACATCATGATGTGCACAGCCAGGAATCTTTTGTTCCAGTGGTTTGTAAACACATCCAGAGAATTCACTCTGTGTGTCATCCACTGTCCCAGACTATATGTGGAATTTGTGATGCTTCCAAAAGCAGAATATGTAAAAGGAGAGGCAAAAACAAAAACCTTGTAAGGTGGACAGTTTTCATGGCATCTGTTTGTATATAGTTTATATAGTTATATCTGTTTTGTATATGCTGAAATACTGAATACTGATCACAAAAAACATAATTATTGGAAATAAATATTATTTGAAATATTTTAATTAGACAAAAGAAAAAATGGCAACCCAAAAAGCCAAGCCAAAACACTGTAATTTTCTAAATTCTAATATGACTTCCATCTTTATAAAGTTGTGTTTTTATCCAATAGGCCTATATCAAGACAAATATGATGGGGGCATAATAATCCTTAACAGTAATGACCCAATCAATTATTGCAAAAGAACAAAATGCACTTATGAAATATTGGTAAAAACAGACTGAAATCACATAAAGAATAAATAAAACAACAACATATTAAAGAAAAATGTAGGGTTAGTCTGACAGAAGGCAAATATTTGGCTTGGGCATTGTCCATCATCTTTACCACTTCCATTTACACTGAGTAAAAAAAAAAAAAAAACATGAAGCTTGGGTGGTGTTTTTAAATATCTGCATTTACCTATAAAATTATCAAAAGTAATAAGTTATTTAAAACAAAAGACACCTTTACCAATCAGCAAGTAAAGTGGCATGCCAACTGTCGATTGATAGCAAAATCTGACAAATAAAATAGAATCCAGTGAAGCGCAAGCCAATCAAAACATCCATTTAGGGCAGGGGGCGGGGCTAGTTTGTAGCCGAGTTAAGATTGGAAGTCACGAGGTCTTGTGTGCTCATTGTGGTTTAGCATACGAGCAGTAGCCCAATCAGCAAGTAAAGTGGCATGCCAACTGTCCAATATGATTGATAGCAAAATCTGACAAATAAAATAGAATCCAGTGAAGCGCAAGCCAATCAAAACATCCATTTAGGGCAGGGGGCGGGGCTAGTTTGTAGCCGAGTTAAGATTGGAAGTCACGAGGTCTTGTGTGCTCATTGTGGTTTAGCATACGAGCAGTAGCGTGCGAGTGGTGAGTAAAACTTCACGAAAACGTATTGGCCTATCCATTGGGGAATTCGTCTGAATAAGGAATTATTTTGTTTTAGTCACATTTGATAAATATATTCGGACTGTGGCTTGAGGAGGTACTGCGTGTTAGGTTTCTAGTAACTTAATGCTTCCATATGGTAGCTGTCTAGCTTTTATACGTCAGTCCTGTTAGTTCACAACGGCATTATTATGTATAGTTGCATAGTTTTGCTCATGAATGCGGTTTTATTTCAGGTCCCCTGTATTGAGGGCGTCGTGAGTTTTCTCTCCAGGGTTTGTCACTCTGCTCCGCAAGGTGTAACGTTAACTCAGTCAGGCACCGCCGTGCCGACCCCTAACCTGTGTTTCAAACTAAACAGACCAACTGAAACCAGTAGTTCACCTCTTCTCAGGGCGACCAGCGGTGTGTTTATGTCTTTGTTTTGCGAAAACGGTGAGTACCTGGACGACAGGAACTACGGATGGGAAAGGTACGTTGATTTCTGTTATTTCTACTGTATTTTTCTCTCTCATGTGTGCGCGTGTACTCTCGCGATAGTTGGCTCTTAATCTGATGTAGGAGGTCGCGTCAGTCTTAATGTGTTGCATGCTGCACCGAATAAAATGGCGTCTTCCCATTTTGTGACGCACTCTGCAGCATAGTGTTCCTCAACAGAGGCCTGTTTGGGGTTTCATCCCATCAGCATGCAAGTAAATGATGCACCCGAATGCCTGGGTCTGACTACGCCATTGTTTTCTATACTTAACTGCAATTTAATTCAGTATTGAGTTGTATGTAAACAGTACATTGACATGCAGACCCCAATATCACAATGACAGGTGGTCCTAGTAGATAACTAGCCAGGCTTATTGAGAATGGGCACACCTCGATTTATATGTCTGCTGTGGTTGATACTTGGCTGGTAGTGATGCCAAACTATGCAATACTCTTTGTTTTCTGCACTTTATCCTCATTCTCATGTCATTTTTGCAGTGCTATAGTGCAGTTGCCGGAACCTGTTTGGGGGGAACTTAGTCAGCGAGCTCGAAGCCTGGAGCCTCAGTGGCTGTGCCCTTTTCATGTCAGAGACAAAGTATTCTTGCAGTCGTTTATGTCATCACCTCCTCTTCAAACAGAAGATCCTAATAATTGCCAATTCAAGATCTTCTCGTCTTGCTGATAAACCATACGGGAAGCCAAAATGTCCATCAATGTCAATCGCAGCGTGTCAGACCAGTTCTACCGCTATAAAATGCCCCGTCTCGTTGCTAAGGTGGGTTTTAAACTTATATGGCTGGGGTTAATATTTATTTCTTGATGATAAATGTTCATCTAGATTAAATAAATGGATGGTATTTTATATATATATATATATATACACACACACACATACAGTCAAACCAAAAAATTTTCAGAAACAAGATATACATTTTTATATTTTACTAGTGGCTGCAGGACACTAGTTCATTTACGTAAGTGAGGATAGCAAAATAAAGTAAACTGACATTATACCCAAAAATTCTACCAGTAAAATTGATAAAAGATTGGGACCAAAACTTATTCAGACACATTGACCTGACCATGTTTTGCTTAAATGTTATCTGACATTATCAAGATGAATTTGTTCTGATACAGTTTGAGATCTTATCATATTTTATTACCATTTTCTAAACTATAGCGAATAAACTGATAATGTGTGGAATTTTGAAGGCGTCTGAATAAATGTTTGGTTTGACTGTGTGTATATGTATATGTATATGTATATATATATATGTATATGTGTGTGTGTTAAAATGAATATTCACCATTATCCACATATATATATATATATATATATGTGTGTATATATATATATATGTATGTGTGTGTGTGTGTGTGTAAAAATTACATATAATCTAAACCATGTTTGTTTTTCACAGGTGGAAGGCAAGGGGAATGGAATTAAGACTGTCATAGTCAACATGGTTGATGTTGCCAAGGCTCTGAATAGGCCTCCAACATGTGAGCAGTTTTTTCTGACATTATCAAGATGAATTTGTTCTGATACAGTTTGAGATCTTATCATATTTTATTACCATTTTCTAAACTATAGCGAATAAACTGATAATGTGTGCAATTTTGAAGGCGTCTGAATAAATGTTTGGTTTGACTGTGTGTATATGTATATATATATATATATATATATGTGTGTGTGTGTAAAAATTACATATAATCTAAACCATGTTTGTTTTTCACAGGTGGAAGGCAAGGGGAATGGAATTAAGACTGTCATAGTCAACATGGTTGATGTTGCCAAGGCTCTGAATAGGCCTCCAACATGTGAGCAGTTTTTAAAAGCTATGTCACTCGTTTTCTTAAATATGGATTTTCCCATTTGACATTATACTGTAACCTCTGTTTAGATCCCACCAAATTCTTTGGTTGTGAGTTGGGAGCCCAAACCCAGTTTGATACCAAGAATGACCGCTACATCGTCAATGGATCTCATGAGGCAAACAAACTGCAAGACATGCTAGATGGATTCATTCATAAGTTTGTGCTGTGTCCTGAGTGTGACAATCCTGAAACTGATTTGGTAAATGCATCATTTCAAATGTCATTTCCATTTTGCCATAAACATTTAGATTTGCATAGATGGGTCATGGTTGAAGTGAGACTATTAATGAACAGGTGCATTCTGGTGCATGTTGAACTGGGTGCCCTTTATATTTGAGTGCATGTTGCGGAGTATGCAGGTCTCTTTGGGGTCATGCATGTAGCTTCCATGTGTTAAGATTGTTTTGCAGGTGTACAGAGGAAATAAGCTGTGTCATTAATTGTATACAAGCCACCTTCAGTCTCTTGTTTTCAGTTTCCAAAACCAATCAGCCAATGGCAGGAGGGTCTCGTCATAATGGGATTGTTAACCCAAAAATTAAAGTTCTGTCATTTAGGCCTCATGTCATTCCAAACCCATAAGACATTCATTCAAAGAGCACACGCTTGTATCTGTCAGATCACCTGACAGAGCAAGCTGGATCAAACTGTATGCTTATGATATTGATGGAAGTGCTTAAAATAAAGCACATCTCATGTTAAGGACAGCTCACTCTGTGTCCTTGCTATTTTTCAGATGCGCTTACAACATCAAACTACTCTGTTGACATAAATGGTATTGTCTTATCCTAAATCATTTTTGAAAATACAAAAATAGCATATAAAGTCGATATACCGCCCAGCCCTACTTATAGAACATCATATATCGATCACATATAATGGCAAACAGAAGCTCAAACATACCTGCTTGGTGCACGAGAACCAATGAGATTTGTTCTTGCATGTTGTGCAAGAACATTTAAGCTTCTGCAAGAACCAGTGAGGTTTGTTCTTGCGTCACACAAGTATGGTTGAGCATGGACTTTAAATGGAGGGACAGAAGTTTCTCGTTTCTTTAAAAAATGTATTGTTTCGAGAGATGAAAAGCCTTGGGTGTTTAACTGACTTGAGAGCAATGTTCTTTTGCCCCTGCTGATTTTCCTCTGCAGTGCAGTACTGAGGACTTCCTGAGATTTTTGCATGATCTCAGCTGGCCTGGTTTCTGTTTCGTGCTGCAGTCAGCCTTCTATTCTCTCTGTAGGGTCATAAGACATACTGTAACACACAGGCCTATACCTGTATACAAGGCAAAGCATACATTTTTCCAGCAACAAAATGATTTTAGAATTTGTGACCGAGGCACCTGATGTTCATAAACTTTCATAACTGGTAAGTGTTTTTTCTTTTGCCTTGTGAACTGGCCGAGCCTTAATGATTCTGTTTCTTTTACATGTATTTTTTTATTGACCGTTGCATGCAATCGTGAAATACAGCATTTTTTTTTAAATTGGCTATTCGTTGTGGGGGGGGGGAAAAAAAAGTTTTCGGGTTCGGGCTCTAAATTGAACTGTGCCGGTCGGGCTGGGTCAGACGATCTCGGGTACGGGTCGGGTTCAGGCTTCAGTTTAAAGCCTGTGCAGACCTCTACTGTAACTCTTGATAGCTTGAATGCTTCTAGTTACACTACAACAAACTTTTTTTTATTTTATTTTGGTCAGTCAAACTCCTTAGATGTAAAATATTTACTTGAAGTACCCCCTGAGATTTTGTTAATATTTCAGTAATTTAACAACAAATTCACATGTTCACGATGCTATGATTTTAATAATATTATAGTAATGGTATGATTTGAACCGTTTGGGAAACCTGCACTACAACAGCAGTCTTCCTGTGTGTACAAACCTTATTACTTTTGTTAAAATGCACTAATGCTGCTTTTACAAATAACACTGTCATACTGGCTTGTTAATGCACTATATTAAGTGTAAGAAGTTTACATTTTCTGCCCACAGTTCTGCCACAACAATAAGAAAGCCCAGAAATATCTTCTGGGTGGCTTTGAGTGCCTGGTGAAGCTGCATCAGACTCAGCTCTTACCCAGAGTCCCCATTATACTCAAAGACCTATATGACGCAGATCTGCTGGAGGAAGATGTCATACTCGCATGGGCTGAAAAGGTAACCTGCCAACACACAGCCTCTAGACATGACCTTCTAGAATCTCAGATGAAACTATGTAGGTCAGAGTTGAGCGTGGCCCAGATCAGATGCCAAAAAATCTGATGATATAAGTAGTTTAGATGCATGAATCCAATTCTGATCTCTGGCAGGTCTCTGAAAACCCATAAATGGAAGGATGATGTGGTCAGTTACCTGTTAATAGGCAACCCTTGTTATTTTAGCCTGAGTGTCTGAGGGGGTTGTAATATGGTAATGTCTGTGACCTGCATGCGGCTGGAGAGGCCAGGGTCTCTAGTGTTCTCGAATTTAAGCTCGTTTGTGATGATTTTGCTATAGGTGTCTAAGAAGTATGTCTCCAAAGAGTTGGCTAAAGAGATTCATGCCAAGGCAGAGCCCTTTGTTAAATGGCTCAAGGAGGCAGAGGAGGAGAGTGAGGGCAGCGAGGAAGAGGAAGATGATGAGGATGACAATGTTGAGGTAAAAAAAGCTGCATTATCACTTTTCATAACCAGGATTTATAATAAGATCAAAGTAAATATAGAAGTTGTTAGATACTTATAGCACAGAATTTACTTTTATCTTCCTTTTCTCTAGGTGGTGTATTCCTCATCTGCCCGTGAGTTGAAAATGGAGACCACAAAACCGGAGAAGTCGGCCCATGAGGAGGAGGACATTGATATTGATGCCATTTAAAGATGAAACCAAAAATCTTCAGTTGCCTCTTCACATATTGCTCAGCTTCTTTTTGTCAGACGCATGCCTTTCACTTCCTTTGGCCTTTTCTTCAGCTCTAGGCCTGGGTTAGCGCACTGCTCAAAGCCTCTTATTTTAGTCTTTTCTCACCAGCTTTATTGATAAATTGTTGCTGTTGTTTGTATGCATGAGTTTCTTGGATTATAGAGCATAAATTCGAACGAGTTCCCCTTGTATTTTTGCAACTATTAAAGATTTGCCTGTGAATTCCACCCTTTTGTCTGTGTAGTTGATTGACAGTAATATTTAATATTATAAAGGGTGTTCAAAAGTTTGGGGTTAAGCAGCAGTTTTTTTTAAAGATGTTTCTTGAGCAGCAAATCAGCATCTTGGAATGATTTCTGAAGGATCACGTGACACTGAAGACTGGAGTAATGATGGTGAAAATTCAGCTTTGCATCACAGGAATAAATTACTTTTTAAAATATATTCATATAGAAGTCATTTTAAATTGTAATTTAACAATCACTTTTACTGTATTTTTCATAAAATAAATGCACACTCGGTGAGCATAAGAGACTGTTCAAAAACATTTTTAAAAAATCATACTGACTGATCGTTTCTGTAATGATGGTCACTGTGGGGGAAATGGGTTGTGACTGCTAATAAGAATTACACTAGGTAGACATCAAGCCTCAGAAGTTTCCAAATCAGGCATTTATTAACCTTTTAATGTAGCACATTTAACGTAATGTTTTAGTTATGGGACAGGTCAAAATCAGACATTAGGCCATAAAATCCAGAACATGTAATACAGATCCAATAAATCAGAAATACTTAACAAAACACAACAGTCTCTGCACACATCCATATAGAAAGTCATAATTTCCTTCTTAATAACAGAAACAATCCTAACATTCTGCAAGCAGCTAACTACTACTACTTTAGCAACATTTATATCAAAGATCATAATTATTTTCCCTTTAGTCTTTGCACCAGTAGAAGACAGATCACAGTGTTTTGCCCTACACAGGGCTTTTTGTTAAATGCTATTTTCAAAAAGTACAAAATACATTAACGCAGGACTTAAACTATTACTACTTGATGTCAATTTTTGGCACCCACCCCCTTTTTTATATAAATTTTGGATGGTATTACATTGTGCAAAACGCAGATAAGCTAAAACATCCCACTAGTCTAATACTTCATCTCTCTCTTTCCTGATTAGCTTACATTGATCTTAGTGCAACATGGAGGTAGTTTGACAACTACCAGCTTCTTTTCATTAACATTAATCTGCCAACTTCAACAACTGCATTTAACTATTTGACAAACAAAACTGTGATGGATGTGAGAATAACAACAAATTCAAAAAGCTACTAAGCTCTCTTAAATTTTTTGTTCAGAATCTAACATTCAGTTAAAGGAATATTCTGGGTTCAATACAAGTTCAACTCAATCAACAGCATTTGTGGCATAGTGTTAATCAACATAAAAAAATATTTTGACTTAATTATAAAAAGAAAAAAGGAGGTTGCAATGAGGCACTTACAATGGAAGAAGTAAATGAGTCCAAGCTTACCATTTTATAAATAATGTTAAAATGTGCAGCATTTGAGCTTAAAGGTGACATTAAAGAAATTGTATAATGTTACAAAAGATTTATATTTAAAATAAATGCTGTTCTTTTGAACTTTCTTTTCATCAAAGAAATGTGAAATGTGAAGCTTACCATATTATAAAATCAATTAAACTGTTTTTTTCTTTCTTTTACTGTTACAGTTTGCATATTATTTGGGCTGTAATGCGATTTAAATCATTTTTAGTCCTTTTAGTGTTTAAGGGATTATAGCATTGCGTTGTCATGGGGAAAAAAACTAAAATTGTAAATCAATTTACACAGAAGTAATTTTTCACACTAAAATCATATTTTATGTTAACATTCATATTATTTGCTAGTTGTGTCTATCCTATTGAAACAGAGAGTATTTCAATGTTTTATTTTAATAGTGTTAAATTATTATTTTAATGTTAATGTTTATGAATTGGTCCAGTTTTCTATTGTAAGTGCCTCACTGTATCCCAGATTGTTTTTTTTTTGCTGTAGTTGTTTTTTTACAGAAAAGGAGGGACATGGAAATTAATTTTTGTGATAATTATATCACAAATGCTATCAATTTGAACCTGGAACATTCATTTAAAGCAAATTCAAGATAGGTCAACTCTCTCTTATCAAATTAATGTCAGATTCAAATTGAAAGGAAAAGCATGGGGATGCTAAAATTTTTTCTTCAAATACTAGATTTTAGATGACTAGAATAAAGGTATGACTGACAGCTTCACCAGAAGAGGACACTATTGGCTTAGTCAGCTATGATTTTGATGATTGCACAACCTTTTTCCACTGTAGCATCTTTCCCCATATTGCTTTTGGTGTATTCAGCTTTGGCGTGGTACCATGGATATCGATCACTTCTGAATTCAAGCGACCATGCTGACTGCTTAAAAAGTGTTATTAGAATTATTTTAGAATGAATCGAGATCTGTGGCACTGGAGAGATAATCAGTGCTACATACTTGAGAACCTCACATGAGAAAAGTGCCAACAACCCTTGTGTTTGACCCTACAGTAAGGGTTGTGTTATTTCACTATTGGACAGATGCAGTGGCGGTAGCTGCCGCTGTGTCACCTGTTGCACAAAGATGAATAGAAACCCGATCACGAGGGCAGTGCCGAGGATGGATCCCATGGCCCAGGCGTAGGAAGGCTCTCTGGGCACGGGCGGGACCACTGGCTTTGGGGTTGACGTCTCCACTAGGACATCCTGCACGCTTGACAAAGAGCCATTGTTGGGCAAGGGCTTGAGACCAAGAATGCTGCACATGAGAGGATAGAGGTCGACGGAGCGCATGGATGCTTTGGTGTAGTCGCGGCGGAAAGCGGGTCCACGGGCGACAAACACAGGGTGCATGCTGGGAAGGCTGTTGTTATAACCATGGTTTCCCACTGCAAATCAAGCATGTAATCATTAGATAACTGCAAAGATATTTCTGATACTGATTGGTAAGCACGTCAATGACATTAAAGGAATAGTTCGGGCAAAAATTTAAATTTGCTGAAAAATTACTCACCTTCAGGCAATCCAAGATGTAGATGAGTTTGTTTCTTCATTGGAACAGATTTGGAGAAATTTTGCATTACATCACTTGCTCACCAATGGATCCTAAACTATTACTACTTGATGTCAATTTTTGGCACCCACCCCCTTTTTTATATAAATTTTGGATGGTATTACATTGTGCAAAACGCAGATAAGCTAAAACATCCCACTAGTCTAATACTTCATCTCTCTCTTTCCTGATTAGCTTACATTGATCTTAGTGCAACATGGAGGTAGTTTGACAACTACCAGCTTCTTTTCATTAACATTAATCTGCCAACTTCAACAACTGCATTTAACTATTTGACAAACAAAACTGTGATGGATGTGAGAATAACAACAAATTCAAAAAGCTACTAAGCTCTCTTAAATTTTTTGTTCAGAATCTAACATTCAGTTAAAGGAATATTCTGGGTTCAATACAAGTTCAACTCAATCAACAGCATTTGTGGCATAGTGTTAATCAACATAAAAAAATATTTTGACTTAATTATAAAAAGAAAAAAGGAGGTTGCAATGAGGCACTTACAATGGAAGAAGTAAATGAGTCCAAGCTTACCATTTTATAAATAATGTTAAAATGTGCAGCATTTGAGCTTAAAGGTGACATTAAAGAAATTGTATAATGTTACAAAAGATTTATATTTAAAATAAATGCTGTTCTTTTGAACTTTCTTTTCATCAAAGAAATGTGAAATGTGAAGCTTACCGTATTATAAAATCAATTAAACTGTTTTTTTCTTTCTTTTACTGTTACAGTTTGCATATTATTTGGGCTGTAATGCGATTTAAATCATTTTTAGTCCTTTTAGTGTTTAAGGGATTATAGCATTGCGTTGTCATGGGGAAAAAAACTAAAATTGTAAATCAATTTACACAGAAGTAATTTTTCACACTAAAATCATATTTTATGTTAACATTCATATTATTTGCTAGTTGTGTCTATACTATTGAAACAGAGAGTATTTCAATGTTTTATTTTAATAGTGTTAAATTATTATTTTAATGTTAATGTTTATGAATTGGTCCAGTTTTCTATTGTAAGTGCCTCACTGTATCCCAGATTGTTTTTTTTTTGCTGTAGTTGTTTTTTACAGAAAAGGAGGGACATGGAAATTAATTTTTGTGATAATTATATCACAAATGCTATCAATTTGAACCTGGAACATTCATTTAAAGCAAATTCAAGATAGGTCAACTCTCTCTTATCAAATTAATGTCAGATTCAAATTGAAAGGAAAAGCATGGGGATGCTAAAATTTTTTCTTCAAATACTAGATTTTAGATGACTAGAATAAAGGTATGACTGACAGCTTCACCAGAAGAGGACACTATTGGCTTAGTCAGCTATGATTTTGATGATTGCACAACCTTTTTCCACTGTAGCATCTTTCCCCATATTGCTTTTGGTGTATTCAGCTTTGGCGTGGTACCATGGATATCGATCACTTCTGAATTCAAGCGACCATGCTGACTGCTTAAAAAGTGTTATTAGAATTATTTTAGAATGAATCGAGATCTGTGGCACTGGAGAGATAATCAGTGCTACATACTTGAGAACCTCACATGAGAAAAGTGCCAACAACCCTTGTGTTTGACCCTACAGTAAGGGTTGTGTTATTTCACTATTGGACAGATGCAGTGGCGGTAGCTGCCGCTGTGTCACCTGTTGCACAAAGATGAATAGAAACCCGATCACGAGGGCAGTGCCGAGGATGGATCCCATGGCCCAGGCGTAGGAAGGCTCTCTGGGCACGGGCGGGACCACTGGCTTTGGGGTTGACGTCTCCACTAGGACATCCTGCACGCTTGACAAAGAGCCATTGTTGGGCAAGGGCTTGAGACCAAGAATGCTGCACATGAGAGGATAGAGGTCGACGGAGCGCATGGATGCTTTGGTGTAGTCGCGGCGGAAAGCGGGTCCACGGGCGACAAACACAGGGTGCATGCTGGGAAGGCTGTTGTTATAACCATGGTTTCCCACTGCAAATCAAGCATGTATTCATTAAGCAATTGCAAAGATATGCTCTGATGCTCTGATACTGATCAGGAAACACATCAATGACATTAAACAAACAGTTCACCCAAAAATTTTAATTTGCAGAAAATTT